TAGGGCTGGAGGGAAGACAATCCTTAAAATAAGTGATCAGTTTCCTTTGACTCTGGCAGCAACCTCGGGCATCCCAGGGTGACTTTCAGGCTTTTTCTTTATCCCAACGCAATGACTTTGGAAGTCTGAGGCCATCTTTTCCTCAGCTGTCAGCCTCCACTCAGTTCAGAATCTAAAGTATTTCTTAGAAGCTTGGAGCATCTTCCTCTTGGCTGTCTCACCCTGATTCTAGAACATAAGAAAAAGTAGGAATATTATCCCAGATTCCTGAATCCTGCTTAGTGTCTGGGTGTTGTGCTCCCACCTCACACCTATTGTCCTGTCCATTCTTCGGTGCCCCATGCAAAATGTCCCAATTAACTGAGTCTTATCTGCAGATCCCCCATTGACATATGTCACCCACCACCCCATCTCTGACCATGAGGTCACCCTGAGGTGCTGGGCTCTGGGGTTCTACCCTGGGGAGATCACCCTAACTTGGCAACGGGATGGGGAGGACCAAACCCAGGAAATGGAGCTTGTGGAGACCAGGCCTGCAGGGGATGGAAAATTCCAGAAATGGGCAGCTGTGGTGGTGTCTTCTGGAGAAGAGCAGAGATACACGTGCCATGTGCAGCATGAGGGGCTGCCTGAGCCCCTCATCCTGAGATGGGGTAAGGAGGGATGAGGGCACAGGGCCTGTGGTCAGGAAAACAGGAGCCATTCTTTGGAGACCCTCAGCAGGGTCAGGGCTGAAAACTGAGAGCCAGGGTCACTTATCCTCCCTTCCTTTCCCAGAGAGGTCTCCCCAGTTCTCCATCACCTTTGTGGTAATGGTTGCTGGCCTGGTTCTCCTTGGAGTTGTTGCTGTTGTTATGATGTGGAGGAAGAAGAACTCAGGTAGGGTAAGGGTGAGGTCTCAGTTTTCTTTCCCAGTGGGGATACAAGCCCCAGGTAGTTTTTCTTGACTTTTTAACTAAGAAGGGTTTGACCCACAAAAGACATGATACTGAAAGCCATAATCTCAAATGTTTAAATCTCCAAAAGATTAAAACTCCAAAACTATAAGTCTGGGAAAAAAACTTTAATTTTAATTCACTGAAAGACATTTATTAGCATTTTCAAAAGGGATTTATTTTAGAGACATGACAGAACATGTCAGAATCTACTTTACACCATTAAATATACAATAACATATTTTTGAATGAATAAATGTGCAGCTATACTAACAACAGTTGCACAAGTATAACAATTATGAGCAGATGAACCTTATTCCTAAATAGGTGAACAAGCAAAATGTGTGAATACCTATCACTATAGTTAGTAACTGTGTATCCCAGCATTATACCTGCAGTAATCTGAAATACTGTATTATACAACCTAAATCTTTTGACAAGGTAAATGAGAATGTACAAGAAATCACCATCAAATATTCAGTTATCAAAAAGAAAGTCAAAACCTTGAGAAGTTTTTGTCTTTCACAAATGTAGATATACAAAAAGGACATTTCTTCATTCATCAAGAAAATTTCAGTGTTTTTACATACATGTTACAATGCTTACACACAGCCAACATTCTGATAATGTACTTTCACAGTCACATTTGCAAAAATCATAAAATAAATTGAGACTCTCTGAAAGCATTATACAGTTTATACCTCCATTATTAGGTGTTGTAAAGTTAAAATAAAAAACAGGAAAAAATTTTAAATAATGATGATAATTTTAAATAGTGGGGGAAAACTAAGAAGAACTTGAAATATGAAAAAAATTACAGGGATAGAATACAATAATTAATGGACATAGTTCATAAAAACTGATACAATTTCATGATCATTATCTATATTCTGAAGTCTCATATCATAATGAGTAGTGGCTTTTTTTTTTCTTTTAAGCTGTGGCTTTTCTTGGAGAATATGTTCACATTCATTTTTTTTAATGTGGCAATACTGTTTTTGAATTCTTCCAAGATTTGATATACACTGATATAATAATTCCCTATTAATTTTTGCAGTCTGCTGTGCCACACTTATGTGTTGTTTGGGGTGTGTGGAAACCCATCTGTATGCACTCAAAAGCACCACAAACTGAGCAGAAGCAATACTAGTGATTGTACACCATTAAATAAACGTCTTCATCTGTACATAATTATCAGTAACATCACTGGATCCTTCACACAAAAACATCTTTAATTCATTAAAAGCTTCATCAGCTGAAGAGATGCCAATGTAGACAAATGACACACTCTTATACATGTTTTTGTTGTAGCTTTTATTGCTTGGCCAATTCCCCAGAATTTTTCTTTCTACCCCTCTAATATAAATAGCCTTTTTCCCACAAAGGAATTTACAGTGGGAAATCGGCTTTCAGCATTTTAATATTTGGGGTTTTAATTGTTGAGGGTTATGATTTTTAAGATTTTAGACTTTAGAGACTTAAATGTTTCAGAATTCAACACATGAGTTTCTAGCATTCAGGATTGTGACTTTCAGAATATGATCAGCACAGACTGGGAAGTACCATCCACACACAGGTGCTTACCCAGCTTGGAGCCTGTTTACTGATATTTACATTACTGTAAAGCAATGTGAAAATGAAGGACAAATTTATCACCCGGTTATTGTAGTGATACAGACTTGTTTCCCAAAAGCCAGAAGTCAGAAGAGAAAGCCCTGCTGAGGTCAGACTTTCAGGAGGACAACTGGTTCAGTTCCTGCATACCTCCTGTCCTTGTGCCTTCTGATCCTTCCCTGGGTCTGCAATTACAGTTCTGGAAACTTCCCTAGGTCTAGGATTTGCACATTCCTGTACCCTTTTGGCCTTGTCTCCTCCTAGGTCTCTCACAGGATTTTGTTTTCTTTGTAAAGGTAGAAAAAGAGAGAGCTATGCTCAGCCTGCCTGTAAGTTTAAAGGGGTTGATCCTAAGACCCTTGGGATAGTGTATTTGGGAGTCCATGGGGGAGTTAACCCACTCCATAATCTCTCCTTTAGCCATATCTCCTGTGGGATCTGATAAGTCACTCACAACTTGAAGAGGTGAGTCACTGGAAAGCATGAAGAGGGAAAGAAGGTGGGGCAAAGAGGACATGACTGGGTTACAGGGACTCTCTAAATTTGAACCTTTCAGAATGTTGCCACTTATAGGTACTGATCTGATTTGTTCATGATTACTTTATTCTACAGTGCAAAACAGGTGTCATGGGTAGAATTGAACCATACAAGATTTGTTCACATCTCTCCATCCTGATGATGGTTTCAAGAGCTCCTGATTTCTCATTGTGAAGTTCACATCTGACTATATCTATGTGTCTGTGTTGCTATCAGCATAATGTAAGGAAATAAGAATAGTCCATCCCTGATCATCAAGACCCCTGCCCCACACTTATGTGTGTTCTCTTCCCCTGTAGACTTTCCTGTTCCAGCAGACACGGGGCTGGGATGCCTCTGTGTGGACAAGTGCATGGAGTATTGCATGCATGGCGTATGTTAAGGGCATCTAGTGGCAAACCACTCCCCTTGTGCTAGGCGCGTAAGTGACAATCCACTTACCCTATAGGCACATCCCTGGGCGTGAAGCTGCATGTTGCAGTCCCTGTGTTTGCTCCATGGTCCACTCTTCGATTGCTCACTGCAAGGACAGGTGGCCAGAAATTGTATCGGTGGCTGCCTATAATCTACTTAGCTACTGCCTGAGTATATATACATGGTAACTGCTGCAATAAAATCAGACCTGCTTCCTGCTTGTCTCTGGAGGTCTTGATTAGCGACTCCATATCCACACTCTCCTCTATCCTGTTCCGTGGACCTCCTCACTGGACTAGAGAGAGCCCATGCATGCTTCTACCCCTGTCTTAACTTTATGTTGCACTGTGCTGCCACTTCTTACTTCCCTGTTGAAAATGAGAATCTGAATATGGATTTGTTCTGTAAATTCTAGCTATGAGGTGTGGTTGATGGGTTCATTAAAGGAGAGGAACATTCTCCTTTGAAAGAGAAAATAAAATCAGAAAACTTTGAGAATACATGTTATTTGTTGTACTGAATCCATTACATGTAGGAACCAGAGAAGGCTGTGAAAAACCAAGTGTGGAGAAGGCTATGTTCATTAAGTACTCAGTCTGTCATTGGCTTAGATATGGTTGCTCCCTGGCTGGGTTATCTTCACCTCCTTTGCCCTTGTCCCTCATTAGAACATTATTCCACCAGGACCTGTGATTATAAGGATACAGAGTTGTGTCCTCTGTCTGGTACCAGAGGCAGTGAGGGATTTATTTGGCTGGCTCAAGCTTGGCTCAAGCCTAAGCCCTGACATTAAGTCTCCATCTTTTATGTGTTTTTGTTTTATATAGGGGACTATGCCTGTTCTTGTTATTTGTAGAAGTTTTGATCTCATTCTCCTATGAGTGTGCCTATCTCTGTAGCAACAGGAAGCACTTTGACATTGGAGGGGCCCAGGACAGTTCTTGCACACAGTCTCTGCTGACAAGTGGTGAATTTTCAGACTCCTCCAACTTGTGACTTCCTTCAGGGGTATTTTCTGGATTGTATTTTTCATCTTTTTCTCAATATTTTAAGGGAACCCAATTCTAAAATTAGCAGAGAGAATGGATTTTATAATATCTCATCTTAATATATTTTTAATATCTCAAATTCCTATTAGTTTTCTGATCACCTGTCCTTTTTCCCTGTCTTTAGCTCTAACTAGCCTAGCCCTTGTTCCAATTCAACCTGTGGATTTATAAAGCAGAGTCTAATTTAGATTTTTATTTGGTTGGAATATAAGATGTATAAGTCAAGAATTGTCCTATTTTGAAGAGAAAAATGGTGTCCTATGCTGTAGAGTGCGGGAAGGGTGGTATGAAATAGCAGGAAGAAGGGAGTGAAGGAGGAAGGAGGGCAGCACTTGTAAGAATAGCCTAGTTGGTCCTGACCTCAGTGTGAAAATGAAGGACATTCACTACAGCTGCCTCAGAGCAGTGTTTGCTCCTCTGAGACTTCATAAATAAAGATAGCGAATAAGGAAGTGTTCTACAGGAGTCATTCATTCAACTGGCATTTGATGAGCATAGGCTATATGATATGCTATAATTTCATCTATAATGCAGCAGGAACTAAAAAAGAGTTTAAAACTTCCAATGTTTTAGAGCATGGGTTCTGGTGGGAAGAGACAGATTAAATAAATACAATTAAATAAATGCTCTGATTAAATAAATAAGAATACTGTTCAGGTTAGGAGATTGTAATTGTTATAGGGAAGGTGATCCTGAGTGTGGGTGTATGGAGCCTGGGAAGATGGCTGTTTTACAGGACTGGCAGAGTGATCGTCACTGGCAAGGTGGCCTCTGAGGATATTTGAAAGTCATGAAGGAATTTGTCAAAGACTCTAAAGGAAGCTTTTCCTAAGCCAGAGGAGATTGGGGGGATTCCTTACATGCTGATACCCCTAGGGTAGGATCCTGTCTGTGTGTTCTGGGGAGAACAAAGAATCTAGTGTGTCCTGAACATAATCATTGAAAAATTAGATGTATGGCCAGATCCTGGAGGTATGGCCAGCTTCTAGGTCTGGAGGATACTAAAAAAGTTATGTTACCACCTTAATAAGGGAGTCACAGACATTTCTGTGCACAGCGATCCCCTGAGTGTCACCTTGACACATGGTCTAAGGTACAGCAGGAGATTACTATGTATGGCAAGGTGTTACTGATGCTGCTGGTCTGCAAATCATACTTGCAGGAGCAAGAATATAGAAAAGGATTCCCCAGTTATGTTTCTCCCCTGTAAGACTTATTAAATAAGTGAATCCTAGAATCTAGAACCAATATTCTGACACAGTGGGTCTGTAGAGAGACTTGAGAATTGTTTAATAAGCCTCCAGCAATCCTGGTACTCAGATGGGAATTACTGAATTCAGTGATCAGAATGGCTAGAGTGGAGATTCCACATTTAAATGTTATTTTTTTCCTGGGGAAAAAAGAAGGAATAAATGTTTTGCCAATTATGAGACATGTTGTTCAGAGAAAAATGCCATTTTCTCTACAGGGGTGCAGCCAAGTGGAAAATACAGAAAGAAGCTCTCAGCTTAGGATAATGTAAATCTCAAATTTTGCTGTCCCAAACCATTTCCCAGACTGATCTCTCACACCTTGCAATAAAGAATATAATGCTGGTTTTTCCCATTTAAACATAAAGGATTTTATATATGTAATATTGCAATTTATTTTATTTTGGAAAATTCCACAGAACCAACTGGCCTTAAGGCTACACAACCAGAAACAGATCCATAATACCACTCTAGGTCAAGTCCCATGTAGGCTTCACCATCCCTACTGCCAGACACAGATGCCACTACTCACACCACTGACATCTTGATGCTGGACACTGGACCTGCAGGTGGAACTACTTTCCTTCTGCTCCTGAAAACTAGGCATCACTATTGCCATTCACACTACCCTTGCTAAATTATTCTGCACAGTCCCAGCCTCTCCGTGTCATCAGGTTGAGGGACAGAGTTCAGATGTGGTCATCTGACCAGTGGAATTAAAGCTTCATGTAGTATCTACTTGCAAGAATGTTTAAGAAAGTGAGTTGCATCCCTTATGGAGGGAAGAGGTATTTGCCTCCTTACCAAGACTCCCTAAGTGTGAAGTTTCCCTAAGGTAGAAAGAGAGTCTAGGAGCTAGAGGTAAAAGAATGAGGGATAGAAAAAGAATGGTAAATTAAGGGCTGGGGTGTAACTAATGGTAGAGTGCATGCTTAGCATGAACAAGGCCCTGGGTTCAATCCCCTGTATGAAAAATAATAAAAAGGAGAACTAGAAGACAAATTAGGATTTTTAAAAAAAAACAGGTCTGTAAAATACCAGAGGATCCATTTTGTGTTAATTTTTATGTTTTGTTGTACTTGCACATATTTATAAGGAGAGTTGCCAGAAATTTGTAAGTTTTCATATGACTTCCAATGAAAGTCTAAAGCACTGTCCTAGTGTTGAGATGTTATGCTACTCAAATGTGTATCCACAGCTGAAGACCAAACTGTTTTTATATGAGGAAAAAAAAAGTAGAATTCAAACAAAGTAAAGGGAAAGGTGAAATTACAGTTATCCATTGCCCTTCCTGGATAGTGTTTCCAGAACACAGTGCAGGAAGGAGGATCCCTAAATATCCCAGGTGTCTCACTTAGTTAAAGGTATAGAGTTTATAAATCTGGAGAGTCTAGGATAGCCAGAATATGCAAAATAAAGACACATAGAAAAAAATGAAAATAAAAAGCAATAGTAATCCTCAGATAGCACATCTAAGGTTCTCAGCTCATCAGTGAATGAAACTACTCAAAGATAGAGAAAAAATAGTAATTCAAAAGGATTACAGGGGATGATGGTATCTAAAGATTTATAGGGTTGGAAGTAGTGCCAGTTACCACTAAAATACTGGAAAGCTTTGTAATTTGCTAGCATTGGATAGAGTATTCATAAGGTCTTCTTTTAGTAGTGGTGGTTACTTAGTCCTAAACTAAATACTTTCTAATTTACCCCCCCAAAAAGTGTTAAAAGTAAGTCACAAGTGAGTCAAATAGCTCCTAATTAGCCTCATTTGTCTCAGTAATAAAAGTTCAAGAATACTCATGAAATTCAAGAATGTTTAGCAACATAACTGGTAAAGTTATAATGTCAGGCATTGATGCCCAACTAGCACAAAAAGAAAATACTGTGGATAAGACAGAGAAAAGTAATCAATCTAAATTATTCTACTACTGACACAGAAGTTAAAATAAACAGACAATGACATTAAAATAGTATTCTACATATTCAGAAAGTTGCAAAAGAGACATGAAAGGTATATTGGCTTAGACAGAGGGGAGTGAAAGGAGGGGCTGTAGGGATGGGAAGGACAGTGGAATGAATTGGACATTAACCCTATGTACATATATGATTACACGACCAGTGTAATTTTTCATCATGTACAACCAAATGAATAAAAAGTCACACTCCATTTGTGTATGACATTTCAAAATGCATTCTATTGTTATGTATAAATAATTAGAACAAGTTTTTTAAACAAAAGTGTCTGAGATATAAAATACACTAGATGTGATATAGGATTAATGGTAGATTCTGTATTGCAGAAGATCAGGAATCTTGAAAACTTAGAAATATTCCAAAACTACATAAAATAAAAATCTATTACAATATATTGTACAATGTCAACAACCCAAAGAAAAATAGTTAGAGCTATGGAGAAGAACATCACTGTATCACAATTAAATTAAGTTAGTATAATAATGATATTCCAGATTTATACTTCCTGATAAGACAGGACATATATGATAAGTCATAGAACAACCACTAAGAAAACTATAATGAAATATTATTAAAGGAGTTACCATATTACAGTAATAAATATCC